CCCACGCTTTGGGTTGCACTGCCCCACGCTTTGGGTTGCACTGCCCCACGCTTCGGGTTGCAATGCACCCTGTTTATGGTTGCAACCGGCCTTGCTTTGGATTTCAACGATCCCTAGACGACCGTGAACCCATCGGACAGAGTTTTGCAAAAATCCCCCCCATCGCACTCGTAATAAAGTTGCGCATGATTTTTTTCCACGCATCTTTTTAGGGTTGACATTTTGGGCCGATAAAATGCAATTCCTCCACCCGATCTGGGTCTGATCCCCTGGTTTCACTCGCCCTGTGAAGTTTTTGTGCCATTGCACGACCCAGCTTGAACAGGACCGATCTCCCAGGGTGGCCTCCATCCATTTTTTGGGGGGAAAAAAAGGCAATTTCTTCACCCCCGGCGATGAAGTCCCCAGGAAAACCCCTTTCCTAGAACAGAGACCACCTGGTTTATGAGCAACATCAGAGAAAACATTTTTCCAGGGAAATCATCAAACTCCGTCCCCTCGCGAATATTTGGGCTCAAAAATAGCAAATTAAGTCCTGTGCCTGGGGAAGGTGTCCAAAACCCACAAGTGATTAATTCCCTTTAATTTAGGATCGGTTTTGCATGATTTCTGGTGAATTTGGTGTTCTGGGGAAGATCATCAGTGTTGAATGTTTCCGTGGCAGGTTGGAAGGGGCCAAAATTAAGTGATTTATAACATTTTTATCATTTTGGCTTTGTTAGCGTTCTTTGGGGATACTTTATAAATACGGTGGGGTTTTATTTAATGGCTTTGGGATTGTGTTATAATTGCTTTGGGATTTTATTTAATTGCTTTCGGATTTGTTATAATTGCTTGAGGACTTGCTAGAATTCCCTTGGGATAATTTGGCAATACCTCGGGCTTTTTCCGTAATCGCTTTGGGATTTGTTACAACTGTTTTGAGATAATATCGAAGTACTTTGGAGTATTTTAGAATTAATTTGCGATAGTATAGTTACTCTGAGGGGTTTATAATTGCTTTGGGATTTGGTTTAATTGCTTGGGGACTTGCTAGAATTCCTTTGGGATAATTTGGAAATACTTTGGGATTTTTCCGTAATCGCTTCGGGATTTGTTATAAATGTGTTGAGATAACTTCTGACTTCTTTGGAGTTATTTTAGGACTGCTTTGAGATGGTATAAACACTTTGGGGGTTCTTATAAATACTTCAGGGGGTTTATAATTGCTTTGGGATTTGCTACAATTGCTCTGGGATTTGTTCTAATTAATTGCGTGGGGATTCTTTGTCATGAATCCCTTCAGGATATTCGCCCGCGCTCTCTGGTTGTGTGGGATTGCACAAACCCCATAATTATTGCGGGTTTCTGGGTTCAAGTGAAGTCCAGAAGTCAAGTAGCTGCTGATGGCGACGTTTTCCTGCTGACTCGATGGACGGAAGGTTTTTGGTGGAAATAGGGGGACCTCGCATGTCCTTCGCAGGAAGAAGTTGGGTTTTTTTTTCTTTTTTTTAATGTTTCAAAGTGGGGATATCGAAATATTATATTAAAAAAACCTCCCAGGGAGAGGGACAGGGGATGCACAGGGACATGTGCACATGGCTGCTGTCAACTCCAGCAAGTTTCTGGCTTCAACGAGCCCCAGAATTTCCTTATCGAGCAGCCAATTCTCTTTTTCCCCAAGTTGTTCATTATTCGTTATTTGCTTTTAATTACTCAGCCTGTTGCCATCTCCCCCTGTGAAGTAACACAAGAGCTGAGGCTGTGTTTCTGTCGCCTCCGATAAGGCCTAGCTCCCACAGTAATTCAGCCATACCCTGAAGTTGGAAATAATTTGGGGGGTTTCGCCACAGGAAATATGTTGGGGTGTTTCCCCATGGAAAATTGCGGTGTTTCACTGTGGCAGATGTGTTGGGTGGGTTGTTTCACCGTGGGAGATGTGTTGGGTGGGTTGTTTGGCCATGGGAAGACACGTTAGGTTGTTTGACCACGGGAGACGTATTGGGTGAGTTGTTTGACCGTGGAAGATATGTTGGGTTGTTTCACCATGGGAAGACACGTTGGGGTCTTTCAATGTGGGAGACGTGTTGGGTTGTTTCACCATGGGAGACGTGTTGGGTGGGTTGTTTGGCCATGGGAAGACACATTGGGTCGGTTTTGTCACCATGGGAGACATGTTGGGTGGGTTGTCTGACCATGGGAGACATGTTGGGTGGGTTGTTTCCCCATGGGAGACACACTGGGCGAGTTGTTTGACCGTGGGAGACACGTTGGGTTGTTTCATCATGGGAAATACGTGGATATTTTCACGGTGGGAAACCACATTGAGGTGTTTCCCCACCGGAAAAATGTTGGGGTGTTTCCCCACCAACAGTGGAAACAGAGAAGAAAATTCCCGTTTTTTCCCCCCCCACCCCAGAATTTACAAAGCAAAACCACGCCCCACAAACCCACAAGAAAAAACGTTGTAAAAAGTGTTTATTGATTTACCCAGCAGCAGGCAGCGTTATACTGAAAACAGTCAATGGGAATAGTGCCTTCCTGGGGAAAAATGGCTGGGATTTGGGTCTGTTGATCTCAATTTTACATTTATTTTGGCTCGAGGCGTTTATCTCGCTTTCCTTCAGGCCACTCCGGTGCAGACGGATCATCTCGGCTTTGGGCTCTACCTGGAGCAGATCAGGTTTTCAAAATACACCTTTTTTCTCACCGATTTGAGGCCAGATCAAGCGTTTGCCCTTTTTTTGCAGGTATTTGAGGCCGTGCGACCTGCTGCTGTAGACATCCATCATAGCTCAGTGCTGGTTTTCCTTCTGCGCTTGCAGAAACTCAACCTGAGACGCCGGCTGGTGCCTCTAGAGGCATGAAAGCCTCTGCAGGAGCATTTACAAGAAGCGCATGAACTGGTGTGCATGTGGAAACTGTCACATCAGTCCCCTCGTGGTTTCAGCATGAACTGGTGTGCATGTGGAAACTGTCCTCTCGCATCAGTCCCCTCGTGGTTTCGCCTACTGCATAGGGTAGACGGGGGCTTCCGCTTCCATCCGCACGAGGTTGGAGACGCGGCTGGAAGAGACAGAATGCAGGTGGCCGTCAGGGTCCCCCTTGGAAGAGGAACCACCAGCCCTTCCTCACTCTCATCATCGCATCCCCATGGGGAGGCAGAAAGTTGCATCTTCCCCTTCCCGAAAGGTGAGCTTTGCTCAATGTAACCCTGTTTTTATGGGGCAGATCCTGTCCCCCTGCATGGGATTACGCTCGAAAAAAATTTCCAAGCCTGGCTACGGCCTTACGGCGTTGTTGGCTTCATCTTCCACATCATGGAAGTCGCCAAAAAATTGCAGTTCCCTCCCCACCCACCACCCTGTTGTTGCAACCTTGTCCAGTCTCCCTCAGGAGCATTCTCGTAGCCAGCAGCAGAGGGGAAGCAGAGGTTAAATGGTCGTGTTAGGGCACGTGGGGTGTTAGGCGTTGGTGTGGAAGTGCCGTGCAGGACAAGCAACATGGTGGGGGGGGGCCAGGGAAGGCGGTGGAGTGAGGGCAGGCCGGTGGGTGCACAAGGGCGAGGTGTGCAGGCAAGCAAGCAAGCAGAAGGTGGAGATGGGATGGCCCTCGGAGGGATCTTGATTGCCCTGTGGCTTTGGGGTTGCTCTACGTTCAGTAAAATGGCTCTCTATTGGGCAACAGGGCTCTATATTGGGCAAGATTGCTCATTATTTGGCAAAATCACTATATATTATTTGTCAGGCTTTGGAACAGGCTGCCCAGGGCAGTGGTGGAGTCACCATCCCCGGAGGTATTTAGGAGACATGTAGATGTGGCGCTTAGGGACATGTTTAGTGGTGTTGGCAGCGCTGGGTTAATGGTTGGACTCGGTGATCTTAAAGGTCTTTTCCGACCTAAACGATTCTATGATTCTATATTCGGCAAGAGTGCCCTGTATTCAACAAGATCGCTCAATATTTGGCAAGACGGCCCAATATTCAGCTAGACCACCCTACGTTCGGCAAGACTGCTCTGTATTAGGCAAGACCATCCTGTATTCGGCAAAGTCGCCCTATATTCAGCAAAGTCGCCCTGTATTCGGCAAAATCGCCCTGTATTCGGCAAAGTCGCCCTATATTCAGCAAAGTCGCCCTGTATTCGGCAAAATTGCCCTGTATTCGGCAATATCGCGCTGTACTTTGCAAGAAGGCCCCATGTTCAGCAAGATCATTCTATAGTGGGCAAAATTGCCCTATATTCAGCAGGACCACTCTATACGCAGTGAAATCTATCTATATTCAACAAAGTCACCCTATATTTGCCCCTTCCTGCTTCTCACAGGGACAAACCCGGGCAGCATAGCGAAGCAGAGAACATCCCATGAGACACCGAAGAACCAATTTTCAGCTTGATCTTGGCTCAGTTTCTCTTCCTACAAAGAAAACTTTCCTGGGCATCGTGATTTTGGTCAATACCCATTTTGTACAGGATGCCCCACATCAAAGCTAAGGTGTCTACTCTTCATACATGTCCCTCTAAAGCTGGTCCATGCTGAGGCACCAGAAACCCCCAGTTATTCAGGTAATTAATTAGAGAGGGTCAAACAAACTAAGCCTCATCCAATCATGGGGCTGCAGGAGCATTTGCAGCATGAGATGTGACAGCAAAGGAGGAGAAGAGTCACTTACCAGAATAATTTCCTTGGTTTTGTGTGTCAGTCGCTGTGGATGAAACCAAAGAAGATGGAGAAGTCCTTCCCGGATGCCGTCTAGCCCAACCCATTGATGCCCCATGGAGGTTGTTCCCTACCCTCTTGCTTGCCCAGGCTTAAAAAAAAATCATCCCATGGTTTGGGGGGGTCTTTTGGGGTCACTCACCATCCCGCAAAATCCCTGGCTTTCCAGGCATCCACAACCTCTGCGATGCTCCTCACAGTCCGGCCATCAGGCAGCTTCAGGTCATCGCTGGGGTCACCATTGAAGTTGCCACAGGGAGCGCAGAGCCGGTTGACCAAGGCGGCCCCTACGGTCACCGTCATCTCCCCGCTGGGGCTAAAGAGCACATCCATCCCCGACGTATGGGAGACGGTGATGTTCCCCGCTACCGCACTCAAGGAAATGGCTTCGGACACCACAGCTGGAAGGCGGGTGAAAAGACCATTCACCTGCAGCAAGGCAAAATGCCAGACGCAGGTTAAAAAAAATCCCAGACTGCCCCGTAAGAATAGTACAGCACAAAGATATCATTGGGGTTGAACACCTAAGGGCGTCTAAAGGAAGAGGAGATAAATCCCACCCAAATTCCATGTCTCAATTTAATTACTCCTCTTGCTCATCCGCAAGGGTTGCCCATGCCCTGCCTCAGCTTACCCACACCTCCATGTTGTTATTCACAGTGATAAAAGCTTCGCGGAAGAAGATGAAGACGGCCACGGCAGCGGGGATGGTGTCGTCCCGGCACTCGCTGACCTCCACCACCACCTTGAACCAGTTGGGTGACTGTTCGTTGCAAAGGGCGGCCACTTTGTAGGTGCCGCTAGCGAGGAGCCTTCCCCCGGCACCGTCAAACGTGGTCAAGGAGGCCCCCGGGGAAACCCGGCACTGGCCTACTCGCTTGACGCACCGCTGCGCCCCGTCCTGCGTGGCGCAGACCTCATCCGGGGGACACTGTATGTCCTCACAGACAAGTCCCTGGGACAGGTGGCAATTGCATTTTGTGGAGCAGTTGCTGGAGATGATGGTCTCACCCGCCTGGAAAGGAAAGGCTCAGAGGTTAATCCACATGGACACCATCTCCAAATTTTGGGGGGATTTCCCACCTTCAAGGGGGGAAGAAATTCCGGAGAGAGAAGGAAAAACCATGAGATGGACTTGGTAGAGTTTGTGCAACTCAACGAATTAATTGTCCTTTTTTCTCTGGTCCAGCGGGGCAAAAATAGGCATTTTAGGATGTTATTAATTGCATTATTTTGGACATGTGTCCTTAAAACGAAGTGGCAACCCACCTTGTCGAAGACTGAGTCCCAAAACCAGTTGCATTGGCTAAGTGGGACAACCAACCTCATCAAAGATGGAATCACCAAATCCGTTGCATCATCTAGATGGGACAACCCACCTCACCAAATGAGTCCCCGAACCTGTTGCACCATCCAGATGGGACAACCTACCTCACTGAAGATTGAGACCCCGAGTTAGTTGCATCAACTCAATGGGACAACCCAACTCATCAAAGACTGAGGCCACAAACCAGTTGCATCATCCAGCTGGGACAACCCACCTCACTTGAAGATTGAGTCCCCAAACCAGTCGCATCGATGAGATGGGACAACCTACCCCCATCCAAGACTGAATCCCCAAACCGGTTGCGTCATCCAGATGGGACAACCCACCCCACAATCCTTCCTCAACCTGATTTCCACCAAAAACACCAAGGCCAAGGCTTGATGGTCAGCCTCACCTTGAAATACCGTCCCTGGTGCATGCAGCCACACTGCTCCAGGGACACACAGGCTTCTCCGTCGAAGAGGTACCCATCGTCGCACTGGCAGCCCTCGAAGCATGTCCAGCTGCACGGGGCCGGCACGGAGAGGCTGGCGCAAGTGAAGTCGCAGGTACGGGTGCAGAGCTCATAGTGGCTGTGGGGTGGGCAGGAGAGGGCTGGGAAAAAAGGGAGAAATACCATTATTGCCCCCCAAAAAATCACGACCCTTTTTCCTGGACCCAATGAGGCATCCCCATGGCTAACCAATGATCTTGGGCGTCTCTGATGGCTCCAAAAGATGCTAAAGCCACCGAATCCTGCTTTTAACATCCAAGTTAAAGCATTTGCATATCACTAATCACCTCGAGGCAAAGTAGAGGGATGCCCGTTTCGAATTCATTTGACACAAATATTGATGGTTTGGAGGCGGTGAGCTGGAATTTCTTTCTTCCAGGGAGTTTTTGGTGGGAAATAGGTGATTGAAGCCTAAAAATGAGGGGTTTGGGGAGGTTTAAAAATAATTTCTGGGCTCTTTGATAGATTGGGGGGGGGAGTTAAGCAAAAGGCATCCTTGCATGATATTACACAGGTCATTCGTATATCTTCTTGGTCCAGAGAGCGAAGGCACGTTGGCATCGAAAGCAGGAAAAAAAAGCCATGATTGCAAAATTGGAGGGTTTTGCTGGGGGACAATGTGGCTTTGGAGGAAAACAGGAGTTGAAGTGGCTCCATGGAGATATTCTGGAGCACTTACGGCAAAAAGTGGTTGTTCTCCACCCCCCGAACTCCGCCC